AAATAAACACCCCTCCCGGGAGTCGTTACAACATCTGCTAAGTCCTCAACAACAAAGTCAAGAAACTGTCATAACATCTCGGGGTGGTCGTGTGGAGATCAAACAACCGAAAAGATCTTCCTCGCCCAATATTGGTCACTTTCAAGTTCTGGATGTTGCGGTGCATCCCGATATTCTAGTGAAAATATCACCGAAACATTCTCCCCTCTGTGAACCGAGACGTCCTCATGAATCTCCACTAGCTGCCAGGTCAACACAACAGAGAAGGAGACTCTTACAGCGATCGCATGAAATTGATTCGGGTGGTTCAACATCAGAATCAGAAAAATCCGTAGAAGTCAAATCGCCAACAGATTTGAAATCACCCTTGAGTACCCGAACTCAGGTGGCAAGTCCTTTACTCACATCGAAAAGATTACCTCTACAGGCTTCGGTATCTTCTTCCGCATCCGATGATTCGAATTTTAATGCAGCACAAAAATATTTTGCCGAAAGTGGTATACTAGGACCGGTACCCAGTTCGGCTACGAATCTAATAAGGAAGACATCGAAAATATTGCAGGACTCGAATGTTATTGAACAGGTGAGTTTCGAAGGTTTTCAAGAAAATATTTGTCAGGGATCCACTAGGTTTTAAAAATATTTTAATAAGGGCAGATAGGGCCCCAGAATTTTTAAAAATATTTTGTCAAGGGTTTTCTAAAAGGCGTGGATTTTTTAAATAATTTTTAAGGGTCTCTACAAGGCGTGGATTTTTTAAATAATTTTTTTAAGGGTCTCTACAAGGCGTGGATTTTTTAAATAATTTTTTAAGGGTCCCTACAAGGCGTGGATTTTTTAAATAATTTTTTTTAAGGGTCTCTACAAGGCGTGGATTTTTTAAATAATTTCTTAAGGGTCTCTACAAGGCGTGGATTTTTTAAATAATTTCTTAAGGGTCTCTACAAGGCGTGGATTTTTTAAATATTTTTTTTAAGGGTCTCTACAAGGCGTGGATTTTTTAAATAATTTTTTTAATGGCCTCTATAAGGCGTGGATTTTTGAAATAATTTTTTTAAGGGCCTCTACAAGGCGTGGATTTTTTAAAGAATATGTTTTCAGAGTCTATATTAGGCGTGGATTTTTTAAAGAATATATTTTCAGGGTCTCTACAAGGCGTGAATTTTTTAAATAATTTTTTCAAGGGTCCCTACAAGGCGTGGATTTTTTAAATAATTTTTTCAAGGGTCCCTACAAGGCGTGGATTTTTTAAATAATTTTTTCAAGGGTCCCTACAAGGCGTGGATTTTTTAAATAATTTTTTCAAGGTTCCCTACAAGGCGTGGATTTTTTAAATAATTTTTTCAAGGGTCCCTACAAGGCGTGGATTTTTTAAATAATTTTTTCAAGGTTCCCTACAAGGCGTGGATTTTTTAAATAATTTTTTCAAGGGTCCCTACAAGGCGTGGATTTTTTAAATAATTTTTTCAAGGGTCCCTACAAGGCGTGGATTTTTTAAATAATTTTTTCAAGGGTCCCTACAAGGCGTGGATTTTTTAAATAATTTTTTCAAGGGTCCCTACAAGGCGTGGATTTTTTAAATAATTTTTTCAAGGGTCCCTACAAGGCGTGGATTTTTTAAATAATTGTTTCAAGGGTCCCTACAAGGCGTGGATTTTTTAAATAATTTTTTAAGGGTCTCTACAAGGCGTGGATTTTTTAAATAATTTTTTAAGGGTCTCTACAAGGCGTGGATTTTTTAAATAATTTGTTTAAGGGTCTCTACAAGGCGTGGATTTTTTAAATAATTTGTTTAAGGGTCTCTACAAGGCGTGGATTTTTTAAATAATTTGTTTAAGGGTCTCTACAAGGCGTGGATTTTTTAAATAATTTGTTTAAGGGTCTCTACAAGGCGTGGATTTTTTAAATAATTTGTTTAAGGGTCTCTACAAGGCGTGGATTTTTTAAATAATTTGTTTAAGGGTCTCTACAAGGCGTGGATTTTTTAAATAATTTTTTTGGGATCTGGATTTTTAAAAAATATTTTTTTTTTAAAATTTTTTTATTCCTTTCCCTCTTTTCCAGATCCGTAAAACCTCAATGATTTTACGTTCGAATACCGGTGGCAATACTGGAACAACTAATCAACCAACAGCCATAAATGCAAGTGTAATGCCAAAGACAAATAACAACAACAGCAGCAGCCAGAATACCAATAACGGGGCCACAAACTACAACAACAACACTGTATCCTCAACAAACCTTACACTAAAATTACAAAGCAATGTCACTTGTGGTGGTGGTAGTGGTGTGATAACTGGCACTACATCATCGACAGCAGCACAATACCAGCCTGGCCTTATCTATTCACCTCCCTCACCCCAATCACCACACACAATGGCCACAAAATGTGGCTTCAGTCCGAATGTCACGACACAAAGTTGCAGTGTCATCGATGACAAGGATGCACAAATTAAAAGCTTACAAGGCGAAATTGTCTCGCTCAAGGATGTGATAAAATCTCGAGATGCTGAGATTGTTAAACTGCGTCGGGAAATACACAAACTGAAGGTAAGTGAGGAGAGGGTAAACAGATAAAAAAAATAAAAACAAGGGGGGGGGGAAAGAGGGGGTAAAACGTGATAATGGTTTACGATGGAAGTCGATTGGAGATAATTGTTATTCCATTTCATCAATGATTTTGGAAGGACATTCTGTCGGAGAATTTCTTATAGGAGCGAGGGAACTGGATTTTTCAGGATTCTCTCAAAAATTAAAAAAAAGTTATAATTTATAGTTTAAATATTTTTATTGATTAATTAATTATTTATTTAAAGCTTCTCAATATTTTTTGTTGCCGCTCATTGACATTTTGTAGCGATTCGATTTTTTTAATTTGCAAATAATTAATATTTAATTGAGCATGTCAATACAGAAGCACGTGAAGAGCTACTTATTTGCATTAATTTGTAATGACCTTCAATGGAAGATAATCAATAAATTAACAAAAAATCAGGGTCAAATTACACTTCTGTCCTGCTACAACCAGATGAAAGCTGGGGCGTGGATTTTTCTAAAAATTTATTTTTCAAGGATCCATAAGTATCGTGCGGCTCTATATAAGTCGTGGATTTTTTCAAGAATTAATTTTTCAAGGCTCCAATCAAGGCGTGATATTGTAAAATACAATTTTAAGGCTATAAAAGAGGCCTGGATTTTTTGATTAATTTTTAAGGCTCTAGCCAAGGCTTGGATTTTTTTAAATTAATTTTTCAAGGCTTTAACCAAGGCGTGGACTTTTATACCCTTCACCACACTGTTGTACATGGTATTATGTCCTTGTGCATATGTTTGTAACAGGCAAAATGAATCGAGATAGACCCGTGGTTCCTTTTGAGAATATGCATAGAATCACTTTTTAAGTCGATTTATGTCCGATTTATGTCCGTCCGTCTGACCGCCTGTCTGTCCATGCTAAATTGTAAACAATTGGAAGAAATTTGACCACTTATTTGGCCCAAGGACGAACCCTATTGAAATTGGGAAAAATCGGTTCAGATTTAGATATAGCTCCCATATATAGTTTCGTCCGATTTAAAGTAAATGGTGCAGCAAAGTTCCTATATATCTTTCGATTTGCACGAAATTTGGCATAGCGTACTGAATGAAGCCTAGAATGATGTGTGCAAAGTTTCGTAAAAATCGGTTCAGATTTAGATATAGCTCCCGCATATATTTTCGTCCGATTTAATGTAAATGGTGTACCAAAGTCCCTATATATCTTTCGATTTGCACGAAATCTGGCAAAGCGTACTGACTTAGGTCGAAAATGATGTGTGTTAAATTTCCTGAAAATCGGTTCAGATTTAGATATAGCTCCCATATATATTTTCGTCTGATTTAATGTAACTAATGCAGCAAAGTCCCTATATGTCTTTCGATTTGCATGAAATTTGGCATAGCGTAATGAAGTAGGTCTAGTCTGATGTGTGTTAAGTTTCCTGAAAATCGTCTGTCTGTAAATGCCTTGTTGACCACGAAGTCAGGCGCCAACGAAACGAACTTCTCATTGGGGTCGTATCGCTGGTAACGTAAGAACTTCGAATTGTCACAAGAGACATTTGGGTTTGAAAGGTTTTTTGTAAAGAAGCTATTAATAGCTTCTGGGGAGAATATCCCAACAAAAAACTAAGGGAACTGATGAGGATCAGTGGCGAGATCCGAAACTATAGTCTTCCCTGCCTTACCCCTCGGCGGACAATGCCATACATTCCCCATTAATAAATAGTTGTTTTTTTTATAAAAACAACAAACTGGGATTAAGCCTAACTATTTTGCAAAAACAAAATACAAATGGTATCCCACATAACCCGCCAAACACTACTGAAAATCGGTTCAGATTTAGATATAGCTTTTATATGGGCAATATTGCCAATTTTTTAACATAGCTGAAGCGGAGGTTCACCCCTTTATAACTCGGGAACTACTTAAGTATATGGAAAAAAGTGAATAGTTTTGGGTTAATTGATCTGTCGTTGCAAACTGCTCATGATATTGACCTCCAAACTTTATTTTGGTGGAAGCTGTGTCTACTTTAATGTAAAAAAATGTGTAAAAACACGTTGAGGCGAACCAGTTTTTTTATGTTCTCTATCGATTTGTGACTAAGCCACTCATTGCACGGTCTTCGTGTCAAAATAAAACTAGAAACCAACAAAATGGGGACTACGCCCCTTATGTATCATTTTTCAAAATTTTCACTGCATCTACCTTTAAATGATGCTGACATTTTGAAGCTCGATTTTGAGTGTTTTTTTAATTTTTATTCTAGCTTTAATACGCAAACAGGAATTTCTAAAAATCGATTATAAGATTATTGTAGTCGCGAATCTGCGTCATTTGATATGTATTTTGTGTATGTAGTATGCACAGCTTCAGAGTAATACTCATCCGAAGGTGCGAATTTTGTGCGATCAAATTTCTAAAAAACCTATTTTTCGGTCCAAATTTTTAGATCTGTCAACTGAATGATATGGGTACCCGCGATCAATAAGGTTTTTTACGTTTCGGATGATATAAAACCTTCTTCGTGAAAATCCATCTATTAGAACTGCGGGAACTGGCCTTCCAAAAACACGAAATTTGGCAAAAAATGTTTTTGAAAATATCGCGGATTTATTTGCGTTCTCTGTGTATCATTTCCGCTTCAATAAATGACATCATACGGATTTTGATCTTTTTCAAAAAGAGAACTTTAAAAACTTCAGCCGAAAGAGAGATGTACGCAATTTATCTCAAAAATAGATTTTGCTGGCACATCCATGGTTCTTAATGGACCACATTGAAATTGTATAGATCGATGTATTTTTTTAGGGTGCACACCGAAATCGGATGCGCGTTAATGGCATATGGAGTGTTTGGAAATTATTCGCGTTTTACGATTTTTTGGGTACTTCAATGCAACGTGTGGCACATCTTAGCCGTCAAATGAAATTTCGCAAAATATGCATGGATTGGAAGATAAACTTCAGTACTTCCTGGAAACCGCATGCGCATCAAATGATTTTGAGAATTACGCGATTTAGACGCAATTTATCTCAAAAATAGTGTGAGCTGGCACATCCATGGTTCTTAATGGACCACATTGAAATCGGTATAGATCGATGTATTTTTTTAGGGTGCACACCGAAATCGGATGCTCGTTAATGGCATATGGAGTTTTCGGAAATTATTCGCGTTTTACGATTTTTTGGGTACTTCAATGGAACGTGTGGCACATCTTAGGCGTCAAATGAAATTTCGCAAAATATATATGGATTGGAAGATAAACTTCAGTACTTCCTGGAAACCGCATGCGCATCAAATGATTTTGAGAATTACGCGATTTACACGCAATTTAAAATTTACATTTCATAATATTATTTTATTTTAAGATTTATTCCTATTTATAGAATTATAAGATTAATTGGAAGGGTCTTGATATAATCCGCAAGGCGTATACTTATACACAAAAAGTGATTATTATTATATATGACAATTTTTCGGCGAAATTCGGGTAAAATAGCAGAATAACCCCAACATTTTTTTTCTGAAATTTCTTGTATACAATAAAAAAAATATATATGATGACATTATTTTTTCGAACCAAAAGCAAATATTTTTCCTCAATATCTTGTTTTGTTGTCGCTTTGATTTAGAAACCGCTACACGGACTTGTGTTATTTTGATATCATTTGATTCATCATGGTGTTTAGATTATGTAGATATTTTAAATTATTTTTTTAGGTGTGTGTATGTCATTAATATATTGAAAATATTAATGTAATCTGCTTTATATTTTTTATTTTTCTCATATTTCGCGAATATGTGCAACTTTATCGTGATTATTATAATATATTCATATTCTTATTTTACGGAGGAAGATATATATCAACGTTTTTGGTCAATATAATAAACGGCGTAATTTTAAGATTTTTTTCTTATGCCCAAAATTAAAACTTCGATAACTTTTGCGCGCATCAACCAAAAATTTGATCGCGAACGGTTTCGGAGTCAGAACATTTTTCTCTATATGTGTACCAAAAATCATTGATGTGCCACAAAAACAAAAAAGCAGATTTTTTGAAAATGAAATATTAAAAAATTGGCAATATTGCCCATATATATTTACGTCCGATTTAATGTAAATGGTGTACCAAAGTCCCTATATATCTACCGATTTGCACGAAATTTGACACAGCATACTGAATTAGGTCAAAAATTATGTGTGTTGAGTTTCCTGAAAATCGGTCCAGATTTAGATATAGCTCCCATATATATTTTAGTCCGATTTAATACAAATGGAGTACCAAAGTCCCTATAAATATTTAGATTTGCCTGAAATTTGACATAGCGTAATAAATTAGGTCGAGAATGATTTGTGTTAAGTTTCCTGAATATCGGTCCAGATTTAGATATAGCTCCCATATATATGTTCGTCCGATTTAATGTAAATGGTGCAGCAAATTCCCTATATATTTTTCGATTTGCACGAAATTTGGTATAACGCAATGAACTAGGTCTGGAATGGTGTGTGTTAAGTTTCCTAAAAATCGGTTCAGATTTAGATATAGCTCCTATATATATTTTCGTCGGATTTTATGTAAATGGTGCAGCAAAGTCCCTTTATATTATTCGATTTGCACGAAATTTGGCACAGCGTAATGAATTGGGTCTAGAATGATGTGTGTTAAGTTTCCTGAAAATCGATCCAGATTTAGATATAGCTCCCATATATATTTTCGTCCGATTTAATGTAAATGGTGCAGCAAAGTCCCTTTATATTATTCGATTTGCATGAAATTTGGCACAGCGTAATGAATTAGGTCTAGAATGATATGTGTTAAATTTCGTGAAAATCGGTTCAGATTTTGATATAGCTCCCATATATATTTTCGTCCGATTTAATGTAAATGGTGCACCGAAGTCCCTATATATCTTTCTATTTGCACGAAATTTGGTACAGCGTGCTGAATTAGGTCTAGAATGATGTGTGCTAAGTTTCCTGAAAATCGGTCCAGATTTAGATATAG